TGCTTTCTCAAAATATACCCGAGTATTGCTTTCATAGGATGTTGAAGATGTTACCTCTGCATATGATCGGTGTTGATGGTTTATTAATTTTGCTGAGGTTTCAATTGGATTGTTTTTTATTTGTTCTCTAATTGCTTTCATATATTCTAGTTTTTTTTGGCAGTCGTTACTGTTTGGAGGATGATTACCATAATAATTTGGGCAATATGGGGTTGGGTTACATAAGGCATCCTTCAAATGAGCGTGACCACATTCTGAGCATAAATTAAAACACTATTAAAACTAATTTAAAACACCTAATACCTAACATTGGGTTTTGATAATTGGTTATAGTGTGAATAATGTGGTTATAGAGGAATTCCCTATTTTTGAGAAAAGTTTCTTTATGTTGTCAAAATCCACTCGGCAAACTGTACATTCTTTACTTGTTCTCAATGATTTGATTCTCAGTAGATTCAATGTCGATGGATATTTGTTTTTAATTTCATCTAGAATGTTGTTAGTGTCCTCATCCATCTTAACTGTATAAATAATGGCACTACAGCATGTTGGACCAAATTTCGGTAACATGATTTTAATTGAAGAGTTACTAATTTTATCTGACCATTTAAATGATTTCATTGTTGCTAAGTCATCTAATGAATATGATTTTTTTGAAGCATAAAATTTAATAAAGCATAGACGAAGGTTTGGGATGTTCATTGTAAGAAATGCACCGATGTCTTTCTGTCATGATGAGGTTTGTTCAATTACGATATGAACAGCTGGGAGTTGGTGTGTCATCATAGATTGAGCAGCGTTCACAACGTTCACGTGGTTAGTTATCGATGGAGGTGCATGCTCTGCGTTTACCTCAGTCCTATTCTGAGGTAATTTTGGGGAACGCGTATAATCTACTAGCATCGGCGCGACCTGAGTTGAGTTGTAGCTCGCTTTATTTTCGACTTTGTTGTTCCTAATTTGTGACGGTGTCAGTTGTTGTACTGCTGGTGGAATCTGGTTTGACAGGTGTTGTTGTCTATAAAGCTGTTGATGGTTCATAATATCTGTAGATAATAATGCATCAGTATTATTAAACCCAATTGGAGAACCCGCCTGTTGATATATTTGTTGCTGATGAAGTGTTGGATTAAACGGGAAACGGACACTAGTCGATCCCTGTTGATTTGGATGAAGAGGTAAATGTGGATGTGTAGCTGAATATGGTACACTCGATAAATGACACTGCCCTGAATAAATCGAGGAGTGAAACTGAGAGTGTGTGACAGGGGCGGGTGGATGACACCCTAATCTACCATACATCACCACGTGGATTGTTAGTGAATTTAACCAAAATATTTATACACTACAGAAACACACAGTTAAAGAAAGAGAAACGAAATATATCACTGTATATTCACGTGGAATATATGTAAATATATAGTTACTAGTATAAAATAAGTTGTACGTACGTAGACGTCTGTACACGACGAAGAAATGTATTTAAAACTATATTTACAGACTATTTTATATCTCTCGACACTGAAGGACAGATTAAGTCAGGCAGTTTGGTATTGGAGAGAGATTTGTACAAGGATAGCAATCGTTTAGTCATTCTTTATAATTTTTCTTCTTTTGTTCGCATAAACTATAGCTCGCGTTTTTTGTAACTGAATAGTGTTTGAACTTATGGATAATCAGAAATAAAAATGATCCACTGGTAAAAAAGAAGCCAACAATCCATCGTTTGAGTAGTTGAATACGTATAAATAATTCTATCAAAAAAAAAGTTCTCCTTTCTAATTCCACTCCATTCTACAGAACAGATCGAGCAATATAGTGCGAGTTGGAAAGGAGAAATATCAAACTGCCTGACTTAATCTGTCCTTATAACAGTATAATACAGAGTTTATTGTTTGAACAAATTAAACATTTTATGCCTTGTTTTTAAAATCATACATCATATTCAAGCTAAATGTTGATAGGAACTCACAATGTCAGTACTTGTCCACCAATATCCTACTCAATTGGCTCAAACAAACATATTCAAGCCATTCACCCAGAAGGATTTCAATAGCAAACTGTATATAGATGATACTGGCAAATTTGACATAGATAAAGCAGCTCAATTAGTTGACAATCTATTTAAAAAGCACAAGCTTAACAATGTACTCGGCGCGTGCAACATACACAATCACTTCAAACTGGAAGAAAATGAAATCGTTTTGGCCAAATTGGCTTCTAATCGTCGAGTCAATTTGAAAGCAACATTAGTCGATTCAAACCAGACAGTGGCAGTGCCATACATGTGGGCTATTGACAAGCCAACTAGATCACTATTTGCCTTCCAGTTCTTCGACGTCAATTGTGAGGAAATGGTCGAGCGGCTTAAGAAATTGGCCGAGTGCAAAGAGACTTTGGTGAACTTTTACCAAGACTTCATTGAATTGGCCGAAAAACTTGACCTTGAGAATGTGTTGGGCATTTTTTTGATTTATAATGACTTGGTTTCGTATAAACCAGACGAAACTTTATTTGAAAAAACAGACATAGTTAAGAGAGTGTAATGGATTGATCCTGTATCCCCAAATGATACCATAAAGCCCTTCAAGGCCCATTTGATTTGGGGTTGACGGAAAACGTCGAAGAGGGAAATGTAGAAGAACAAAATGCCGAAAAGGCAAACGTCGAAAGCGGATAATGGAAGAAGGAAAGTATCGAAAGGAAAACGTCGAAAAGAACGAGATTTCTTTCTGTTCCTTTGAAAATCACTGAACGTGGGGTTGAGATGAGGATTGAGTGAGGGTGAGGCGTTCATTGTAGCAGCCATACTGAACTTCATCATACTTTACTTTTTCGACGAGTGGCTATAATTACTACGAGGTTGGAGATGTCTGATGAGAACCAATAGTACTTCTAATGATAATAATACGTATATCTCATTCAGTGATTTTCAAGGAACAGAAAGAAATCTCCTCCTTTTCGGCGTTTTCCTTTCGATACTTTCCTTCTTCCATTATCCGCTTTCGACGTTTGCCTTTTCGGCATTTTGTTCTTCTACATTTTCCTCTTCGACGTTTTGCTCTTTTTTTTATCGATATTTTCCTTTTCGACATTTTTCCTTTCGATGTTTTCCACCAAGACATGCATGATGACATGCATAAAATGAATCATTGCGCCATTAATTGCTGGGTGGATCCTAAGAGTAATACACATCAACAACGGCATTATCGCGATTGAAAAACAAATCGACCTGTATTTTGCCAAACGATACAAATCAATTTGCTAATCCCAACTCTTGCTTTTCTGCAACCGATTTTGTTGTCGAACATTTAAAAAACTGTCAATTGTTGTCGAAATTGAAAATACTATTAATCTATAAAGAAATAAAAGCTATAATGCAGATTAATGATGTCGACACGTTTCGCGTTATTTTATTTAAAAATTTTAAACACTCATCAGGGCTCTGCATTACAATAAAGGGGAAACGGAAAAATTAAAAAACTGAATAAAATTAAGGGGAACGTTAATTAATTGGGGTAAGAATATGTTGATTCCAAACCAGTAATGGGTAATAGGAAGAAAGTTTGTGTATTTATAATTTTTAATTTTTTGAAAATTTATAATTTTTTATAATTTTTATTGGCTTTATATAGTTAAGAATTTGTTAATGAGGGTGTAGGTGACACGCTGTTAATTTTGTTCCATCGAGATTAGGATTAGCAGTTATACCATAAAGATATATTGTTTTTGTTTCTATTGGCTAGAACTTAATAAATTTAAGTGTTGATGTGTATTGGATTATAATAACACTATTCAAATGATTTGGATTGTATAAGCAATATTCATATAAGTAATTCCTTTTTAATCCATATTTTAAATTCGGTAATAGTAAATGAATAACATCAAAATGTTTTCGAATTGAATGAGTTGCTATTATTGGATAATTAATGTATATACCGTTACAATAATCATTTGTATAATTCTAAAATATTCTTGAGGGTAATGTTATAAAAAAGTAAAATGCTGATTCATGATGCTATTCAGCGATCGGGATACCATAGCCAAGAATTGGTAATTTGAAACCATAATATCTACTTTGGTTGAAAAAATTATAAATTTTTAAGCTGACATTGAGGTAAATTTGATAATGTTTTAACTTTCTTTTGTGTAAAGGTTCTATCAAAATTTCCAAAACCAGGATCTCTGGAAAACCAAAATATCAGAAAACTAAGTCGCGGAATGCGGCCAGGAAATTCTTTGTAAATAATCCAGTTGTGTAGAGCACATTTCTGAACAAAACTAGACGTCGTCACACTCGGTACGATACCTTTTAAGTTAGGCAAAAGAGTAAATTAATGTGATCGATTTGCAACATTCGAACAGAGATTTTGTAGAAATATTACTTAGGGTTTTACAAAAAAATGTCTATTTTCAGCATGAATCTATCAGCCGAAGGTTTTTCAGAGACATTCTCAAAAATCTCAAGGACTAAGAATTGTCCTAGGCAAATTTTTGCGGTTGATCGATAATCTACGCTGATCAGCGCAGTTGATTGTCTATGAAGCATGTCTTCTAAGTGTTTCCACGCATGTCTGCTCGGAAATAGACATGTCCTCAAGGAATGTCAATAACTCTGGGACCATAAGAGCTGGAGATGTGGAGCATGCTAAGTTTTGTAGAGTCACATATGAGCTATCAACTGATGATATTTGAGTTTAAAATCCTTTGTTTCCTGAGGGAATGGCGACCTTATCTTTCAAAGATCGATGTGGTACACCACCTGCAGGCGGTGTTGGGACAAGGTGAATTTTTTTCTCATGCTAAAAAGCTTTGGCTTTCGATTAAACTGCAGGCCTCTAGCTCTCTCCTGTCAAGTTATTGGGAAAACAACCGATTACCTTGAATTTTGAAACGGATAATAGTAGGGTAAGCCAGCAGAAAATCAAATAAAATCCTATTGTAGGATTGCAGTAGGATTTTATCCTGCTTTGTGAACGATCACTTTGAAGAAATGAGGACAGAACAGGATGTTCTAAATTTTCTTTCAGAAGATAAGTGTCGAAAAAAGAGGATTTTTTCTGCTCTAAAAGTGTATTGTAGGTCTTTATGCGTATTACTATGTTCGGAGGTGATAAGACACGGCGCTGCTGAAGATTCACTTATTCACGATTTCACACACAAAAAACCATACCTTGTCTCAGCGATCGTCTCACAGAAATGCCCCCAGGATCCGGTTTTTTCAACCATGCTTGGCTAAATTTCGTTTTAGGTACCGGCATAGATATAAAAAATATATCTAAAAAGTAAGAGATAAACCATTCAGAAGACCCTAGTGGAACTTCTTGTAACCAAGATCCTGACTTCTTGAATTATTCCAGTAACATCTTGATTGGTAAGAAAATATAAGAATTCAAGAAATTTCTAGAAGTCAAGATCTTGAACATCTTGTAATTTCTTGACTTTCTGTACCAAGATCTTGGAAATACTTCAATCATCGTTTTTTTCTACACTCTTGTGTAAATATAAGTGCGAATATTTTTACACTTAGCATACCTTCGAATCCTTTTCTTTCTTGACCACAATTGTTTAAGGAAGAATCTATGACTCTGTATGGTCGTATATCCAATGGCTACGACTGTCATAAATAAAAAGAAAATGTAAAGAAAATTTTTCACTCAAGATCTTGAAATTTCTGTTCCCAAGATCTTGAGTGAAGTAAGCCAGGATGTTTCACGATCTTGAGCGAAAGATTGAAGAATCCAAGATCTTGACTTCTTGATGTTTTTCTAAGACCTTGGGGTCTACAAGAAGTTTCACTACGGACATCATCAGTCAAATGTGATAAACGATAGTTGATTCAAAATAAAAGATAAAATGAAATACATATATGTAGAACGAACGCATTCAGTCGTCATATATTGTGAAAAAAGGAAAAGCTGTATTTATCTATTTTGTATTTTATCTTTATTTTGAATCAATTATCGTCTATCACATTTGATTCATGATGTCTTTTGAATAAAGAAACGTCTCTAACAGAAAATAGTCTATTTTCATGATTATAAAGGTAGTTTATCTCTTATTTTCTGTATTGAAATTCTTCACCTTACAAAATGACTCAAATATATTTAAAACTATTTTCGAATCTAAAATTGCTAAAAGTCAGGCGTTTTTGTAACAAAATCATCGAAAAAGAAGAAAACGAAGAAAAATGACGGGAAAAGAGGATGGATTATGAAAAAAAGAGGATCATTCACAACCCAGGATTTTATCTAATTTTCTGCTGGCGTATCCTACTAGGTTTATTACTTTTATTTGTTTAATTATTGTCAGATCCCGGATAGTCAGAATTAGGTGAATCCTATAAGATTTTTGCTACCGTTCTATATCAAAAATCCTACGGAATTCCTGCCGTAAAATTTGATAGGACCCTAAATAGGAATCCTATTATCAGTAAGATCCTATAGGGGCTTGTAGGATCCTAGTAGGATTATTTGACCTGGGTGATATTTTCTGGATTAAAATGGCACTATCGCATGCGTATGTAATAATCGATGCATTGAATTTACAAAAGGTCGCACACCAGCAAAATTAATGGCAGAATAAGAAAGACATCCCCTCACGCCTTTTATAAACTGAATGCTATTTCATGAAAAAATGTCGCTCAGAGCTCGGCGATGTCTCATTTTATAGCGCGAAAAATTCTCTGTCAGTCTATATAAAACCTAATCCGGTTCTGAGCAGATGGATAGAAGAAAAAATGAAAGATAAATTCGTTTTCGTACATAGATGAGTGAAAAACCTTCGGTTTCTGAAATTTCTACTTCTGGCACTTTAAAATTTTTCCAGTTAGCCATCGGACAGAACATTGCAAAAGGATGAGAAGAGAAAGAAAACTTTGCTAATTCATAAGTCTCTGATTTAGCTTTAAGGTGAATAAAATTCCTTAAGTTTCCTGGAGACCATGGCAGTCCAGTGTGCAGTGACGGAGTGCGCTTTCCCTCCCCTTGGATATTGCCCTAACATACATTTCGATTTGTTTTATGTGCTTACCGAGGTGAAAAACGTCCGGTTGGAGAATCCCAAAGAATCAGTTTCATTCCAACTATATCCAGCTCTCGGACGTCCTGACCGGATCCAGTGTGCGGATTCGGTTCAATTTCTGTTCCTTCCGTTATATTCCAATGTCTAAAATGAAGGTGTATTCGATCACCGGATCCTATGACTGAACCGTTCGAATCTTGTGGTCAGAAGTGAACGGATCCATCCATCTATATCTTTCTTTTTATCTCTTTTCTTTCATTTTGCTGTTCTGTACGATGAATACATTCACCGTTCTGTTTCTCGGTGTTGTAGTATAAATACCACACTGTAGAAACATGAAACATGAGATTTTTTTTCTCCAAGTTTTCGCACTGAACAGTTTGAGTCATCGAAACTCACTGCTGTTCTAAGTCGGTCCCCTGACAAATCAATCTTATATTAACCGATCTAATGCGGTTTTTGTCCGCAATTAACCCGAACATATTTTTAGACCTTAAAAATCCTTTTCAGCGCCCTGATTTTCGAAAAATAAAGTCTTCCCTCGTTAAATGACTTTTACTGGAACTATTATCTTTATAAAATCTCGTTCATCTAGACCAACTATTAACTATTATACACCATTCGATAGATAATTTCACGGGCTACAAAATTTTTTATAAGACAGTCAGAAGAAAATGTAACTGTATAGTCTAAGATTCGATAAACTCGGCAGCATCTCAGCTAACCTGTAGGTCAACGTCATTCATAGTTATAATATTCATTTATTTTCTCGTTAACCGCCATATTTTATTTAGGCGAGTAAAACCACAGCGTGACTTCCGAATAGCACAAGGATCGCTAGACAGCTAGTGATAGACATGGGCAGGACCGGAACCAAAAACGATTTTTAACGGAACCAGGATTGAAAAGTCTTTTGTTGTCGTCAATAATTTTTGATTGTTGTTTGTTTCTCACGAGCAGTCGTTTCTTCTAGTTGTAATTTGGAGTTCATTCTTTCAAAGCTAATTTTTCAACTTTCAGACAAAATATTTCGTTTCAATTAGATTTTATTGACAAACAAAAATTGCCAATGGGGACATTTGAGAACCCTGATAGTCACTTCAAACAGTCATATCAATTCATAAGTGAATGTTTATCTTATACAAGCTATTTTTGTATATGAGATACATGTGAGATAGTTACTAATCCTTTTCGTCATCACGTGCATATTAATCTTAATCCATACTAACCCAGGTGGTTCAGCACGGGCAGTAAGCGATCGTAAAAGTTAAATTACGTCAAAATACTGCAGCCATAAAGAGACCGTGATACGGTTCCATGTAAACGATGGAGTTCGGCATATTACATGCCGTCGTTTATTGTCGTTAGCGTAGAGCCAACGTCGACTTTGATCTACTATGGATAGTGTCAGTTTCAGAAAAAAAGGTATTTTTTTAAATTTTCAAAAATTTTGACAAAAAAATGTTTTCTTTGAGTGCTGGATATCGAAAATCCTTTGAATCTGAAATTCAAAATAATTTTTCGGAATTGGTCTTTGTGAAACTCCCTTTAGAGACTTTCCAAAAACCCTTTCGAAAAATTATGGATTCTCTAAATTCTTTTTTGCAGATTTATTATAAATAAAAAATAAAGTAATCTAAACAGTACATTCTGAACTTTTGAATTCATTCTGGTGGTTTTTGAGTGAATACTGAGTTTTTTCATATTAGACGAAAACAGGCGGAAAACGCTAATTTTCGAGAAACATGGCTTTCGTTAGTTTTAAAATCTTTTTCTAGAAACAAATATTGCCTTTTATTTTTCTGTATGATCCATTTACATTTAGTAAGAGTGTTATGGTTACAACGTGTATGTGATATCTGTGAATATTCTTTTATCAGAAATTAGATTGATTTTTCACTGTGAGTTTTAATACACTGAAGTTTTCTACTTTTGTAAATCAGAATACAGTTTATTACAACAATATGTGCAAGAAAAACTAAAATGACATAAAAAAATTTTACATTCGTATAAATTGTGTTAAGAAAATAACAATTATTCAGCAGAGATTTTGACAGTAAAAAATATAACATTTTCAAAAATAACGTTATATATGACAAATAAGATATTTTGTAGAAAAAAGAAACTTGGTCAAGGAAAACGTTTTAGAAAATAGAATGAAACATAATATTATATTAGAAACTAAAAATAAATAGTATTTGTAAGATTTTATTTGCAACAAGCATATAGAAAACTAGAGTTGTCAATAACAGCAGACGATAAAACATGGTGACTAGCATCTAGCGGTTGAATTCTTGTCATTAATACACAACTAATCATCTAATTGACAAAGCATAGCAGTGCCTCTCTTAATCCAGTGTTCCGGTGGTTTATCCGTGGGCAGATAAACTGGCATAACGAAATTTGTTGAATGACCCGTTGTTGATAGAACACCTCGTCTTTCACTTGTTTTATAAACAGGACATTCGTATGTACCTTCTGCTCTAAAAACATCTGTTTTTATGGGTTTAACCCAAATGATTGGAACGGCATCGTACAACACTTTCGGGTATTGTTCATCGAGAAGACCACTAAAATAGAATTCATCTTTTTATGAAAAATACGCTCAATATAATCATCCCTTACGTTTCCTGATTCCATCTTGCACCATCCAAATACAATCCAACAACGTATGCTCCATCGGGTGGTGCTGTCTCTGATTTCATCGTTTTTAAAACCTAGAGAACAAAAATAATTAAATCAAAATATTTATCTATCGTGAAACATATTACTTACATTAAATTCAAATGTTAACAAATCGATTGGTATCGTTTTTTTTCTTGCATAATTTTGTTTTACACCGGTTAAAAATGCTTGAGTAAAATAAAATCCAGCTATCCAATAAACAGGAGGTTTGCCATTATCATACCAAGTCTAAACAGATTAAAAATAAATATGAATACATGTAGCTGAGAGTTGTTAACATCATACTCTTAAAAATTTAATTCTTTCTAATAAATCATTGTAATAACTGCCAAGACTTTTTAATGATGGATAACTTTGTTTAATCCACATTTCCGGTTGTTTACCAATCATTAGACTATTTGCTACTGATTCCAACTCTTGATTCATAACAACAAGACCTTTAATTGCTTTTAATAAATTTTGTAAACTTGATCGTACAACAGACATTAATCTTCAAGGAAAAAGAAAACATACATAGTATAATCAAAAGCAAATGAAAAAAGATAAAAATTATTTACTTACTTATTGAAACGTTCCATTTCTTGTACAAGTACTGTATTCATACTTTCATTATATTGTGTTGGATATTTTTTCATGGATTCTTCAAGATCAAAATTTTTTGGTAACTAAATATATGTAAAAATAAATTAAAAATTAAAAAATATTTATCAATAAAACATTACCTTATTTAATATATCATTTGCAATATCACTTAATTTTTTTTCCGCATCACCACCATCTGCACTTGTTGTACCCATTGTTAGTAAAATAGAATCAAATAATAATTTTGTTGATTGTAAATCTTTTGAAATATCCACATTTTCATGCATACCAAATACTTCTGGTTGTTGTGTCAATGGAAGACTCTATTAAAATGTAGAATAATTGAAGAATAAAAAAGAAAAAAAAATAGTATTCAAATAATAATAAAATAAATTTACTTTAATAAATTCAACATATTCATCATATGTTCCTTTAGGTGGTACATAATAATTGCCACTTGGTGATAATTTATGTTTGGGAACTTCTGCTACGTTTGAATTATAAAAATCAGCTAATAAAGTTCCTAAACAACGACGATCCCAATCATCCGTTACACGACCACCTACAGACAAAGATCAATCTCATTATAACAAAAAGCTGAAGAAAAAAAAAAATAAGAAATTTTTATTACGTACCGTAGTTACATTCCCCGGCCATATATTTAATAGCATCATAAGGCACATCAGCATACTCATTAATAAACATCTAAAAAAAACAAGAGAAATAGATTAGAAGAAATTTTAAATTTTCTATTATTTATAGGGCTCATACTTGTAATTGACGAATACTAATTCGTAGATCAGATTCATTGAAACCATATGGAATATTGAAGCCTTGTGAACCAAATTTTCTTCGTTCTTGAATAAGTGCATGAAAAAAGCATAAACCAAACAGAAGACGTTCCCAAGGCTTTAAAAGAAATATTTCTCTATCATAGATATCAAAAAAAGAATTGTTTTGTCATTTATTCTATACTTACAAGATCTTTTCCTTCATCAATTTTATTAAAAAAACTAGGATCTGATATTGGATCATTTAAATATGATTGTAATAGATTCATTCTCAAACCGGTAGGTGGTTCATTTGTCATTTTAACACCATTTTGAAGAATTGTAACCGGAAATTTTGGTGATGGATAACTTGTGAGCCATAATCGAAATTCTGGATTGGTTTTATCGGGTTGAAAATCTTCACAAATCTTTTCCAAAGCTGACATCCATGAAACTGCGAGATGACAATTTTGTAAACAGACCCATGTGCCTGACATTTGAGCATCAGCTATTAATCGTGCAGCTATGACACCCTATGATCAAGAGAAAAATATCATTTTATTATTTTATATTTGCTTATATAATCTTACCTGTCCTTGACCAAGAGAAATTGCATTAAATTTTGCTCCATCAAAACCTTTATCTTGTGCAAATTTTAATAATTGTGCCATGGGATCGGCACCTGGACTCAAAATAAATATTAATGGTGCAAGACAATTTGAATCCGCATATGATTTAGCCAAATCAAATGGTGGTGGTTCAACAAATTTTTGTCCCAAATTTCGTTTAACAAATTCGATAACCATTTGTACAACTTTATCTGGACGAATAACACGTACCAAAACAATTTTTTGAAATTGTTCAAGTTTTTCATTCCATGGTGCCGGTAATTCAACTGCATACGGTTCTTTACTTTCATAAATGATTTTGAATGCATCAATATTTTCTGTAAAACTTTCACTTTAAAATAAAACATCAGAAAAATACATTAATCATTTATAAATCGACTATTTAGTGTAAGATAGATATATTTACCGTAATCCGTTAAATTTTGGTAAATCAGCCAATCGACATAACTCATCCCAACTTTTATCTGATAACCAACCACTACTTGGATTTTTTAGTTTATTTTCTAATCCAATACCGCCGGTTAAAAAGAAAACATACTCATTACGATCGAGTTCATGTCGAGCACTAAAAAATGAATAGACATAACTAGAACAATGTAATACTAGAATGGTTTATGATAATTGTATGCTACTTACAGCATAATACTAGTACACAATATAAATGAGAATAAAAGTTTATCTTTTTCGAACAATGATCGACAAACATTACTATATAAATTGTAGGTAAAATGATCTTGAAGATTTTTGAGACGACGTGCAAGAATTTTTGATTTTAAACTAAATGAAACGATAAAGAAATTAGATTAAGCTATTCTGAATAATTTTTGTTTTTATTGCTATTCACCTATCAGTAATTGATAATTGATAAAGATTGATAAACCATTGTAATGAATATTGATACATAGGATCAATATTTGGCAGATCATTTAAACAAAAGAATAATATTGCTGAATATTCGGCAATCGGTTTATAATCTTGTCGAGATGATTCTATTTTTTTCGCTGTTTCTTCAGCAACCTTTTGTTTTTTTGATATTTCATCTGAGATCAATTTTGATGAATCTAATGTTTCAATGGCTGCTTCATCTTCTAAAATATTTCCTTCAGATGAACTCAATGTATACAATATTTTATCTTCAGCTTCTTTCAGCAAACGTTGATTTTCTGCTTGAGTAATAATTAATGCTTGACGTTCTTCTTCTAATTCTGGACGTTCTTTAGCCACAACAATACCTATACAAAAACAAGCGTTATCAATTTATTTAAAAGAAGTCAAAAATATCATTACCTAATAGCTGATCTTGTAAACCTTCGGATGTAATCATAAAATTTAATAATGTTACTTTTGTAGATATTTCTGTAAGAGAAAAATGTTATTAATGCTAATTTGACTCGGAAAATATTTTTAGAAAATATTTACCTGGCAAATAATGTGGATTACGTAATTTTGTGGTTATAAATAATTTAAAATCTTTTGAATATTCAACAACTTTATCACCAAGACGAATCATCTCCACACCGGCTATTAAAAATTAACATACGACACTTTTATTAAAGCACCAATTTAGAAAGAGAGAAAGTTAATTACCTTGTTTGAATATTTGTTTTAATAATATAGGCTCTAGCGACGGATCTAGTTCTTCTCCCACATTTTCAATCATCAATGGATAACCTAGTTGAATTGCATTGTCCAATTGTCTCATAAAGTCAGTATCAGTTAGTTTGACAACTTTTAAACCTAGTTGACCATATGAATTTTTAATCCAACGATTTGCTGAAGACAAAAAAATTTTCATACATAAAATAAATGTTATTTAATCAAAAACATACATCAATTACATACCTTGATTTTGTGGATCAATCATCAATGGCCAACGGTTTGAATTTTGAATAGTAACAGCATTATCAACTGAAAAACTATCTTTTGGTAATCCAGCTATGTTCCAAGCCTACAGTACAATGAAACAATATTATTTCGATAATATTTCATATTAAATATATATTTCGATATTTACTTGAATTTTTATTGGTTCACCCAATGTATTTGCTAACGAATATTTTTCTGCATCAGAACATGGTAATTTTTTCTTTTTACATAAAGTAATCCATGCATGCGTTGCTTCATCTCGAAATGCTCCAGTAAATGCTCCAAGATATCCGATAACGCCTGACGATACAAGAACATCGCCCAGTAAATTATCATAAATTTTTTGTAAATTTTCTGCTGCTGCTGTCCAACGAGCTTTTTCACCACCTAGACCACTAATGAGTTTTTGTGCACGTACAAGTTTTTTTCCACATAAATCAACTTCAAATTCTAATTGAGCTTTACGTTTTTGAGCAGTATCAAGATCTTCTTGTAAACGTTGGAGTCGATCTCTATTAATATAAAATAACAAAAAATTTCAAAAATAGATATTTCTAATTTAAAAAACATACTCGACTTCTTTCAATTGTTTACGTTTTGCAGCTAATATTGTTTCTAATTCTTGAACTTCACGATCAACTTCTTCGAGGCGAGCTTTTTTTGGTGCAACTTCCTGAATGATAAATAAATATATTTACAACTTTAATCTATAGTAATGTGATAATAATACAAACTTTGGCAATTTTATCATAAACATCCATAGCTCGAATAAATAAAACAATACCATGTGCCGCCACGGATGCTTGTTGAACACGAGCTGGTTCAAGATCAGCATCTATCATGTACACCTCACGAATTTCTTTCATACGTTCGGCCGGTATATGATCTTTATCAAACTCTTTCAGGGTATTTATAAAGTTCATTTCACCTAAGGCACGTCGGGCAGTGGGCCAAAAATCTATAATGAATATTTATTTGAGTAAAGTTTCTCACTTATTCAAGATGTATAAATCTCAACTACTTACCAATAATTTTTTTTCCGGGATTATTCGGATCGGACTTTTTTTCCGGTGGTCGACCAGTAAGTACGCACACAGCAGCTAATACTTTTCGCACTACAGCAGTTGGATTTTGCATTGTTCGAATTTCTGTTATGTCGCTCGCTTTCAGTGTGTCGAGAGCATTGATTGCCGCCTATAAAAGAGAATAATAGAAGGGAGCATGATTATTTGAGTCAATTAAAGTTACTTGGAGTGCAGGTAAAGCAGCCGACAGATCATGTTCACATTCTTCCTAAATAACGAAAAAAAAACGAATAACCAATAAGATTAATAGAAATTCTTATCAATATGAAGAATAGACACGTACTTTCAACTTATTGGCATCCGATGCTTTTGCATTAACAACAGATTCTTCTGCCACAACAACTTTTCGTGTTTCTTCAGCTTCTCGTGATTTCACTTCAATATCAATTAACATGGCAGCTGTTTCTTCGGCACTCTGTTTTAATTTTGGTTGTAAATCTTCTAATTCACTTCTCATTTTACCCACTTGTGTTTCAGCAAATGCTAATTGTTCTAAACCTTTAACATAACGTTTTTTAGCTGCCATTATTTCATTTTGTTTCGATGTAATTAATGTTTTAAAACCACTAATTGCTTGTAAATAAGATGTTGGTGTTACATAATTGTAACGTTGTAATTTTTGAAGAAATTTTTCGGATAATTTTTGTGTGGATGTATGAAAATATTTGACAATTTCTACACAAGCATCTTTTTCAGTATCTTTAATATCAACTTGTTCAAGAAATTTTTTTGCTACACGTTCTAAAGCATCTTCTGGCCACTAAAACATATTAATTCAAAAAAAAATGTTAGTTAAATGAGCAAAAAATAAGGAGATATCTAAAAAGATATTATACTCACTGGTTGAAACCAATCAATTGTACAACAATTAATTAATGATGGAAATTGACGTAATCGATTTCGAAATGCATCACCAATTGGACTAAATGCGAGAACAATATGTAAATTATCTCGAACACGATTAACAAAAAATTGAAATAATGCTAATGGACCAAAATCAACATTTTTATCACCATCGGTTTGTGATGCTGCTGCAGCACCTAAAATTAGTAAAAATAACATTTTTTTAACACATACAAAATAACAAAAAAATATTATCATACCAGCAACAGCTTCCATAATTTCACCACGTTCATCAGCTGGAAATAAATTTGGTACTTCGCCTGTATTCAATAATGAATCAATATCTTCTAGAAATCGTTCATCTTTTATTTGTGAATCAGTTAATAGAAACACTGTTGGTTTGTTTTGTGCACCAGTCATTTTCATTATTTTTTTACCTACAATTAAATAATGATAATATTCTTATTTATCACTTTCATCCGCTTCCCAAAAGAATAACTTGTAACTTTTGAACTTCAAATTTAACTTGAATTGAATTTTTATTTTTGCAAACATGGCAGTTACAAAGGAATATTAGTTTATGTTAATGCCACACATAGTATCCGCGTAAAAAACTGAAAGATTTTTTATGGAATAAAATTCCTATTAAAAAGTTATCTAACTTACAATCTTCTCGAAATTCGATCACACCATAATTTTTTGTTATTTCAGGTTGATGAATATCGTAATTGGCCATAGCTGCTGCTAATCGTGTCAATGACTGTCGTCCCGATCCACCGACACCGACCAACAATGCATTTCCACCAGGCAAACGAAGTATACGACAAATACGTGATAAATGTTCCAAAACGTATCTATAAAATAAACAGATTATGTGATCATCTATCAAAAACGTGTAATATATTTTCTTTATACCTGAATACAACTAAATTCATCTTATTTTTATGTGTACTATTATATTCTTCAATAGCACGTTCAGCAACAGAATACATTGTATCAATAATTTTAATTTCTTCATAAAATCGTTCATCTTGCTCAACATCGGGATGCATATAATCTCCGAACAATAAACTTCTCAAATCTTCTTCGGAAACCTTAATGATAAGATTAACTTTAATAGTTGAATTTGTCTATATTAAGAAATAATAATAAAACATACCTTTCCACTTCCTTTACCATTGTTAGCCAAATGTTCAAAGACAGTGTCAAAATTTTCTTTAAATATATCTTTGACACAAGTTTTAACCGCCCTAGAACATTATAATAAATACGTTTTTTCTTTTCTATATGATCAATTAACTTTCTATTAAACGGATGAGATAATAACATTATATTAGAAAAATGATCGACTACATGTATTGGAGTCTGAGACCGTCAAAATTCAATAAAAATCTAATGTATATGATATTGTTTTACTTACTCAGTTAACCATGTTCGATCTTTATCATCGATTAGACGATCGTAAAATACACGCATTGTTTCATGAACCCATAATCTATAACAATCACTATTGTCATTTAAAAAAGAATAATAAACATATATATAATCTTACCTGATAAATGTTCGTTTTGATTCAACTTCATTCTTTCTTATTAGACAACATCCAAGTATAACTCTTGAAAAATCTCTCAAATTAAAAATATAATGACTTTTTGCTGGGGTAGGTAAAAGATTTTCAGCCGCAGCCGTATATATTTGTAATGTTGCTTGAACAATTTGATTTCCAATTGTTAAAAAATCGGATGTAAATTCTTGACTCTAAACAGAAATATGATAGTGTTATATTCAAAAATGTTCAAATGAGATTTAAAATATTTCATATACCCGAATATAAACCGAAATAAGTGTAGAGAATATTTTCGTCAATGTTTCATCTGTAAATGGATTAATCGCTATTGTCATAAAATGGCGTAAGAAGCGTGCAGTAACAATATTTCGACCACCTCCAGCAGGACCCATGGCGGCGACAAATTGAATATCTTCTAGAACAATTTTTGTGGTGTCTTTTCGATCGTACCTAAAAAACAGTTAATTATCAGTAGTCAAAGAAAATTCTATCTCAGTAAGAATCTTTACCAATTTCCATGATCCATATACTGTCGTAAAAGTTCAATTGGACCTTGAGCACCATATTTGTCTCGTTGTGGCATGTTCATATCATCGACAAAGAATACTGCTTTTCTCATCATTGGCGGACCAAATACACCTTTACGACGACGATCCAAACGAGACATAATTATATCCTAAAAAATTGCTAATACTTTGTTAGATCTTCATTATTTTTCTCACACACTTCGACTATTTACCTGAACTTGATTATGAGAAGTTTGCGCACTAAAATTAATGAAAAATGCCATATACTGGTCTTTATCAAGTTTGTTCATCAAGTAATTTTGTACATAAACACTCTTTCCAGTACCTAAAAATAGAATTTTATATGTTATTGATATTTAATTTGAAAAAGATTGGATATTGTACCAGTTGGTCCAACAAATAATACTGGTTTTCGACTTGGTGTAACTAAATCAAGCATAAAATTAATACGAGCTGTATCGACAGTGGGCACAATATAACGTCGAATATTTTTCATATTTGTTTGTGCTGTTGCACCTGCAGCTTCGGCTACACGCAACAAATTTTCAAATGGAAACCAGTCACCACGATTTTTGTACTAAATAGATAATTAAATACTTAATAAAATATTTTAATACATTCTATCTGCTACGACTACACTTACGCCAAAATAATAATCATGTACAATGCCTTTCTCTGGTATTTGTAGATCAAATTTTCCTCCGAATATATCCGGTATTGGTTCAAATTTTGCCCGAAGAACATCACGAAAGAATACATCGAATTTAATACGACTATCTGTATCACTGGTAGCACCAATACTCCAAATGGCTGCCCATATCGTTGTGTATATTACCCATGAACGAACATTTTTGTTTTTTTCTGGTTCTTCTTCTTCTTTTAATGCATCACGCATACAAACATTAATCCAGTTCATCATTGAACGAACCAAATTCGAATCACCAGTTGGTGATAATTCTTTTGTTACTTTTCGTACATGTTCTAAAAAAAATTCAATTTAACATATTTTTCATACAGTAAATATTAATTTGAAACAACAGTATTACCTAAGCATTGCGGTACAAGATAATCAAATAGTGCTGCTATTTCATTACGATACATTTTCAATGGTTCAGCAATTTCACCATTCAACCATGATTCAACCAATGGTTTCCAGCCCAAAACACGCGGTTCAAGATAAATCATACCACAACGAGAAACGGTTGCGGGCTGTTAATTAGAAGAAGAAAAGATTCTTTAGTATTATTTCTATTATAAAGATTAGAAGGTATAATCAAATTGCATTGTAATTCCACCTTATTTTGCTGTTATTAGTATGAAGTCCGTGGATGATTCTAATATTAATCATCTTTTCGTGTACTTACCGATGCTTGTGAAAGATCCATTACTTCGAATATCATACCTGAAATTTAAATGAAACAGCAACATTTCAGTTAAACTCATAATTTTGCAGACTACATACTCATAACATTTGACATTTGTATTATTTCACCACTTGTTAAGCAAAGTTTTTTATTATCATCCAACACAGTGTTCATATTTTCAATCCAAACAGCATCAACAGGACCATCGAATATTACCCATTTTCGATCAGGATTCTCTGACATCGCATATTCACGAAATGTATTGGCTAAAACACCATCATTCCACTGAAAAAGAAACAAAATAATGTTTTAGCTTGCTATTATTTATAGGAGTTTCTTCGATGCTAACCTCATGTGAAACCATATCAAAATTTCCGTATAACTGTCCGATTGTTTGTGCTTTTGGATTTATTACTTTATATTGTACTTTCAATTCATCCAGGCCTTTTGTGTGCATCAATGATAGAGATTCGGCTAATACTTGTAATACCGTCGATTTTGGAGCAAATGGCTCTCCAACTAACATAAAACCATGTCTGACTAACATCATTTCATACGTTTGTGTTACTTTAGTCATAAATGCTTCAGTTGCTTGTAAATTCTTTTTCGTACAGATTTCAATGATATTGTCATAAAATTCACCATAGTCCGGTTTCGGTAATGTTACTCCCGGAAATAAATCACTTATAATTCCATTAAATAACGGAATATCGTGACTTAAAAATTTTGGTAAATTAACATCGATAATACTACGCAAAATTAGAATATCTTCACTTTCCGTTGGATATTTTTGTTTTAAACTACCAGCTGCCCATAAAACACTTTTAACTGCACGCATACCATAATCATAATGATATTGTGATGACAACTGTTCCGAACATAATTTATAGACAGTAACAATTTTAACACTCAACGCTCGAGCGTTCATAAAACCATAGGAATAAAGCGATATTTCAGATATTAAAGCGTAATCGGGGACCATCATAGCAACAGGTCTGAACAACACTTTCAAATTGTCGGGTAATTCGGAACGTCCAGCATCTAGAAATATTAAAATATACAATAACTTAGAAATGAAAACAGATTGTTGTGAAGAATAATAAACTACTCACATCCTGGATTCATTGTGATGCATACGTAACAGTTTGCATTTAATCGAATTTCTGTACCTTCAAATGAAAATGAATCTACTTTCGCTTGTATAGCACGTATTATTTGTAATATTTGTTGTGCAATAACGGATAATACTTCAAGATCGATACGATTGAATTCATCAAAACATGACCAGGCACCAGATGATGCTAATCCTTTGAAAAATTTTCCCATTCCGATATAATCCATTGTATCAGAACAATTAAACACCACACATTGAACTGCCAATGCTTTTGCTAAATCTTTGGTCGTCTCTGTTTTTCCTGTACCGGCAGGACCTTCCGGTGCCCCGTTTAAATTTAAATGATAAGCACCAATCAATGTTCGATAACAACGATCGGTTAGTGGTGTTATAACAAGACGTGCTGTATTACCCAAATACTCATAACAATATTTGACAGTGGCATTTGTAATTCGTACTCGACAATTTGCCTCTTCCCAATAATAACGTAATTGTGCTAACCAATTAAAGTCGTTTTCGGATGAAACTTGTTTATTAACAAGATCTTTGACGGTATCTTTTGCATGCACATCAATGACAACTAATGCTTCGAGTGTTATACGAGTTTGTTTATTTAATTTTCCTCTTACCAATTCGACAATATCACCTAATTGTGCTTCCAGTTTTGTATAATAATCTGCTAAACCTTTAACACCTTGTGTTAGAGCTTCTTGAACTTCTGTTGTCCAATAGATTTGTGATACACAGAGAACTACTTGACCAGGCCATGATGTTACCCAATCACCTCGATATTCTTGTGGATAAGCGACATATGCTTGTTCAATAACATGTCGAACAGATTTTAACATGACTTCTTCAACTTGTATTAACCATTTTTCGACGGCACCTTTCGTCTCCGATGTTGATATTGATCGAATAAGTTTAATTTTTTCACCTTCACTCGAGAACATTGCATGGATATCTAATTTTGAATCAAATTCTAATCGTGCAATACCCTCGAATAATTTTTTTAAATGTGGCTGTACACGAGTTGGATCTTTTGTTTCAGATAATATTTCTAACATTTCATCATTGGATAAAAAGAAAAATCGTGGAAAAAATAAACGTTTTTTCTCCAAATATACATGAAGACCATGATTTATCTTTTCAAGTAAAGCATGACTATCATTTAATTTATCTAATAGGCCAGTGAGAGATGTGGCAGCCATTACCTATTAGAAAGAAACGAAAATTATTAACGGCTGATGCAGAGATGAGCAAGTCTGATAACTTCCAAGATCAAATCCACCACAAATTGTTTCTCTGTGTTTGCAAAGAAAAAACACGCTAACTTAAGAGATTCCCATTTTGGAAAAGGATGAGCTCTGCTATTTTTAGAAATAGCTTTCGCACTAGAATAACAGAAATTAGATGTACTTAAAAATGAAGACCAGTCGAGATTTTTGTTTTTATGCTTCTGAAACTGATTCCGGATCATTTGTGGTCATCGACACACTTAATCAGCGTGGATAATGTAAAACAAGAAACCAAAAGTTTAGGTTTTTAACTAAAATGTGTTGATCACATGCAAAACCAGTTTATCTTTTTTTAGTGAATAGGCTGTTTTTATTTGCTTTTTATATTTAAACAATTAATTGCTCGGCTCCTTTTCTAACTTGTCTATTTTAGCAGCGAATAACGTGTCTGTAGAAGTTAAAATAGAAAAAGTTCAAGTTCTACTTTAATCCTGATATTTAAGTCACAAGATCGTTAAAAAATGCTTAAGGTCCAAATATGGACTTGCCCATTTCTAAACTGATAATCAATTTCGACTCAATACATACATGGGTATCTTTTTCCAAATGTCGCATGATATCTTTATAATTTCTATCCACAGTAGTAAATAATCGTCCTTCTTCTGGCATTTGCTGATTGATATCTTCAGAAGAAAATATTGGATCAAGATACATCCATTGAGATTGAACTTTGAGCCAAACATCAATAATAGCTTGAATTAATAGTAAACGAGCTTCCCAATTCTATAAAAATCAATCAGTTATTAGAAATTTATTATCACTCTCATTTTATTATATTCATTCGATAATTAATTTATTAAAATACCTTAATTTCCTCTTCAAACGGTTTAATAAATGGTGAGCCTTTCATTGTTTGAGTTTTAACAATATGATCATCAAGTATTTGTTGAATGTCATCGACTGATGACAATATTGTTAATTCACTGTCTTTATATTTTGCCGTATTAAATATGACAGGTTCCCAATCTTCTTGCATTTTTCTCAATGCTTTTTCGAGCGAAAATTCTTTAGATGCTCCCGCACTGACTTGCTCAAATTGTTCCATATACGGTTCTAAATTAGTAAATAAAAGATATTGAACAGTAAAAAAATATTTTGTCTAAAAACATACCGAGACCAAGTTGTAAAACTTTTTTCAATGTTGTTCCCGTATCCGGCTTCAAATTTCGTTCAGCAATAGTTGACATTTTCTCCCAATGTCGATCACGTATACCAGGATTACATAAAATACTGATAACAGGTAAATATTCCTAAAATTAAAGCAAAAAACTACATGTATGTCTAAATTTGTCTAAATTCCATGTTGTTATTATTGTGATACGTTGATTAGTAGAAGAAAACAAAAAAGAAGATACCTGAAATGATTTTATACGGTCCTTAACTTGATTTATAAGACCGGACAATAACTCTCCATAGGTCTCAAGCTGTTGCTGTATTTCTTCTCGTTCAGCAAATTCAGCTGCGTCTGTAAGAAAAAGCAAAAAATGTGCCACACAACATACACACAACGGAAAGTGTAATTATCTCTAAAAAAAAAACAGTCCGATTTTTTAGTAAAACACAAAACGCACATGTAACAAAAGCCCGATTAGTATTGTTACTACACAACATGGTACAACACAAACACACACTAACAGATAGCGAACCTTGAATTTATCCAACTGATCAAGTATAACTGTACAAATGCGTAACATTTCGGGATCTGCTTTTTCAAGTTTTTCAAATTCTCTTTCATCCTCATCTTTGTCGTCTTGTTCATTAGCATCATGATCGCCAGCAGTTGTACCAGCAGCTTCCTCTTCCATACGTTTTTTACCTAAATTTTTTTTTTTGGTCTTTTTGCTACCGTTTTCTTATAGTATCAAAAAATACAGTCAATAGTGAACTGATTTAACGTACCTCTTGCTTTTCGTTTTTCCATTACTTTATTGGCTAATTCCATTTTCTTCTTCTTAACTAGATTTGTAAATTGTTTTTTGATTTTAAATATTTCTCTTGCATATTCTTCCACTTCACCTTCGACTTGTTCTGAATTTAAATCCAAAAATGAACCATCCATCCATCTAAACGACAATATTGTAAAATTTTTAAATAGTTTTTTTATTTATAACTATCACAAACTTTTTTTCGGCAATTTGCCATTTTCGTACAGTGGTGAATAGTCTATAATATGGATCAACTAGAATAAAACAATACTATATCGAAATTCATATTGATCTCTTAATTCACGAATACATACCAGCAGTTTTAATAGCTTCCAATTGTGGATATTCTGATTTTGCCATTTTGAATTGCACTTCTTCCTATTAAATTTACATTAAAATTTATTAGTAATGATACAAATAATAGTATATTTATACAAGAATAAAGAAACTAGTAATTCTTAAAAATTAAATCGTGACACCACAATCTTTTCTTCTCTTTGTTATTTTGTGCTGATATTTCAATTTTCCGTCGGATATGGTATATTTTGATTACCTTCTTTTTCAGAATCAGAAATGACGTCAGAAATAGACCTGACCCGTTGGTGATTATATTTTCTCTAATACAATATAGGCACAAAGAGAGTCTTTCAGATGTCATAATCTGCTCTTTTTTGAAATTGTTTTTTCCCCTTACATTCGGAATCTAATAAAGGAGATATCTGTTCTTGTACATGTTTTTTCGATATCATACATAGTAAATGTCTCTTTTTGTTTTCTTTCTCTAACCGTGTTATATCTACGTTCTTGTATTCAACTTAGATGTGGGATAGAGATGTGCACGGGTACCATCTTTGACCCGAAAATTTTTTTTCACTCGTATCCGACTTATGCCTAAAAATTTTCTCTTTGTTTGTTTCCAGCTAAAAACTTTTGTTTTTCGGTCGAAGATGTTAAATTATCATTACGTTCTCGAGTAATTCTTTTTTAAACTTTCCTGTATTTTAGCTGTATTTTTCACTAAAATTTTGTGGGTTTTCCACTAAAACCTTCCAGTTTTCGGGAAAAAAAATAGAACCCGTACCCGACAACTTCGTACCCGTACTCAACCTTCGGATCAGGTCGGGCTGCACATCTCTACTGAGATATGATGTTCGCTCAAGGTGTACCTCGTAAGAAAATAAACATCTCCCAATGTGTTAGGTTCCTATTAGTTGTCTGTTCTATAGATTTTCTTTTTGAATTTAAATGTCTTCTAAAATTCTTGCTCTTTTAATTGTGAATGTGTCTTATTCAAATGTGTCGAGAGTATATTAGTTGAGCGAGTATATCACTGTTAAAGATCATCGCACATACTTGATTAATCCATTCAATTTCATTCTCAACATCAACAATTTTCTTTTGAACATGTTTCACATCCAGTGCATATTCTGCCATCATCTGTAATACACCATTATCGGCAAATTCATCAACACGTCGTTGCATTTTTTGTAAATCCGATATTAAACGTTCTCGTTTTTCAAGTAACACTTGTTCATTTTTACCACGTACTTGTTGGGTTAACTAAAATTAAAAAAAGTTAACCATCAGTTTACAGATAGGAACTAGATCCTGTTAAAACACGATACTCACTTCATCACTAGTATCAAATATAGGACCAATATTATTTGGCCATAACAATGTTTCAGAATTCAATTTAATATCATCATCGGAAAATAAATATTCTTCTAATAAATATTCCATTTGACGTTGCATTTCCTGCATTATTGAAATAATACATTCATATAACCGTTAGAAAGAACAAGAAGGAATAATATCAGCTATCGTACTGACGAGTGTCAGTTGTCGTACCTCGATATCTTCCAACAGCTAATAAACTTCTAACATGATTACTCGTAACGTTACTAGTCGTTAATTCTTCAACTCCGGTCAGAAGATTAGCCTGACGCCGAGTTCTTTTCGCCTAACTGCTTAATCTTTCCATATACACTCACTAGCCACCTCGTTAACTCATTACAGAAAGGGACGCAGACTGAACGGACGAACTATATTGTGCGTCATAAAACAATGAGAACGCTATTGGACGGATACTCCAAGATGCAAAGACATAAATAACTTGTCCAAGATTTTTACATGACTTATCGGCGCCGAAGTTCGAACACAGTACCTGGGAAGTACGAGTTGAACGACTCAACCGTCAAGTCACCCTGTCAAACCAATTAAACGACCTAATCTACCTACTTTGATTCTTTGCATTAATTGTAATGTCTTCTCGCCTTTTGCATTATCAATAAATTTGACTATATCATTTAATTCAGCTGTCGTTGACGGTTTTGTCAGAGCACGTTGTTTAACTGCTTCATATTCGCCGCATATTCTACAAACACAATGTGTAGTTTTTTGGTTATAAAATTCTTATTATTAAGTTCTGAAATACGTACGATTGACATTCGTTTCTGTAATCATTGACCAATTTATCCAATAATGTTTGACGATGTTTTCTTGCTGCTTCAACAAGACTCGTCTTCAATTGTTCACTACTTGTTTGAATGAGATTAAATTCTACTGTTGTCGGTTCAAGCATTATTTGTTTCACAACAGAATTATATCGTTCAAATTCCTATAAGATTCAATATTTATTCAGAGCTGCGCAAGTCAAGTCAAAAATGCCTCAAGTCAAGTTAAGTGTGACTTGACTTGAAAAAATTTGTTAGTGATTCTGACTCTGACTCGACTTGGAAAAAGGGTTTTTCGACCTTTTGATTGATTTTTGATTTTGTTTGTCTCTTAAATCATTTCAAGAGCGCATTTTTTCGAATTTTTAATGCAAAGAAATGATATTAAAGATCTAAATAGAGTCATTTTCCATGCAGAGCTGGACAAATCAAGTTAAGACAGACTTGACTTGACCTGAGAAAAGTTTTTGGATCTTTTGACTTGACTTGAGACTTGAAAAAGTCCTAACTTGCCCCATTCTACATTTATTCAATATTTCTAGAAGTATCTGTTCACTTACTTGTGTGTATTCATCAAACGTATGATTTTCTGATATAAATTTTTGTACATCATCACTTGCTTGTCCATCTATCAAATAATTATATTTATCTTCATATGTTTTAAGTAATTGTAATGGTTCTTGAAAATAATATTCAGCTGATGTTTTTAAACTTTTATATGCTCTTTCAACAACGGTTTGTGTCACTCTTGTGTCCAACGGTACATTATCATCACCACTTAAAAACGATTGCATAGTTGCTACTCTAGTACGATTTGGTCCATTAATTGAATGACCAATTTTATCCACGACATAATTTAATACGTCAACTAGAATACATAAGACAACATAGAATAATATCAATTTAATATTAAATATCTAAAAACTATACCTAATTCGTTAAATGTTGGTGAAAATTCAATTTGTTGTTTTCCTTTTGATTCATCTTCATTAAGCAATAAGTCTAATTTTAATATGGGTAAAAAATCTTGATTATCAGGACGAAAGAGTGAACACCAGACATCAATACTGCGTTCTAGTAAATCACGCAACTTAAATAAAGCAAGACCGATACAGAGTACATTTTTGAGATTAAATAATAAACTTACTTGATTTGACACAAGTGTGTTAACCGAATTAAAAAAATGGTCCATTTTTTCAGGTGTTGGAGTTATACCGGACACTTTGCCACTTTGAAAAATTTGACATATTAATGGAAAAAAGCCATTGCTTAAGTAATCTTCGGTACGTTCAATATCGCGAAGAATAAAACTTCTTAAATGAGGAAAATCTAATGGACCAAGTTGTCTAAACAGATGATAAAAGTTAAAAACTAGTTTATTAGCCGATTCATACTATAATAGAAACCTTAATCGTTTGAAATCAATCATTAAACGTGGTGATAATGCTTTATCACATAATTCTAATACTTGTCGATGAGTTGGATGAACAATAAATAGAGTCTCTTTAATAGCATCACGATTTGCTTGAAATATATTTTCCCATGGACTGGAAAAGTCTAAACCACTAGAATAAGAGCCGACAGTTATTTGATTAATAGTGTATTTTATGCTAATTTACATTGGTTCTACAGGTGGTGGTCCAGCGACTTCATCTTCCAATCCCTTGACTTTAGGCGCAATTAATACATGTTGCACTAAATATTCATAAATGAGTATGTATTGCTTATATTTTAACTATTTTGATTAATTAAACACTTACATTGACTTTTTTTCATACTATCTTCATACAATAATTTTGTTTCATTAATTATTTTTTTTATCACTGGCTGCATTGATACTCCTTCTCTGAGTTTTGGATCGATAAAATTTAGAATTCTAGTGAATGATTCATCTGCTACCGGTGTGATTGGTAAACTATGTACTCTATCTTTAAGAAACATGTAATTTGTCTAAAATGAAACGTGCAAAAGCCGATTATAATTGCAGCTCAACTTTAGTAATTCTTACTTTAAGCGAACGTTCTTCGCTAACACACTAAAATAGAGGAACAAATAAACCTATAGAATAAGAATCAAAATATTTACTTATTTTATAACACATACAGTTTTAGGAAAACCAGGACTTGAAGGGCGTAAATTTTTCCCTCCATTTTTTTCTACAACGTCACGTTCGGATTGATGAGCATGTTCCAGACTAAAATTAAACGTTTTTAAAATTTTAGTTACATATAATAGGAAAAAATTACAAGTTTATTTCCAGTTAATTATACGAAAAGTGTTAATAATCAATAAGTTTTGAACTAGACCAAAAAATTTCATCCATTATAGTTATGTCATCTATCAACATCTCATGAAAAAACACATTGAGTTCAGGTTTTATCCTATTCTTCGTTTATGATGATAAAGAAAAATCAGTTTGCAGCTTTTCTGAATTTGAGAACAATAAAAAAAGCGATTACAAAAAAAATATCTTAAAATTTCTGTTGAGAATCGAAACGGATTGTGCTCATTTTTAATTTATGTATACAATTCATTCTTTTCATGCATTCACAAAAAAATAGTAATCGAGCATGAAACAAAATTTTGATTTATTCAATTGAAAATGATGATGAATAATTAATTACAAAAATTTCAGAACAAAAGTGGAAAAAATATTGTAATATAATATGCTGTATTTTACTTACTGTCAATCTATCAAGCAGAGAGGATGTGTTAAGCACACAATCAAACCCAACAAATAGTAAGTTCTTAGTGAATTCGCTACAAGTGTTTGTTATTGCAGTTTAAAATCAGCTAAAGGTATTTCTTCTTTTCCTTTTTAGAATCCCGTTTGAGATAATTTAGTTTGATGGCAATTTTACACTGTATACGATTAGTAAATAAACTTCCTCGTAAATATATTAAACTTTACTACGTAAATAAATTAAACTTTTTTACATTTTTTAAAGGCTTAGAACACTAAGAATTTATTTTTATAATTATTCGAGGCAAGAGAATACGCTTTCCTTAGTATTAACTACGTATCATATTCAAGCCTATCGAATGACTTACGAGTATCTTTAACTCAGGACGGTTTTTCTTTGTATATCGCACAACAGAATCGAACTATACATTTAGGAAAGTAAGCTCATCGTTAGAAAAGTTTATTATAAAAATTTCAGCTCGAAATGTGAAAGCGTTCAAAAGTTATAAGTAGTCCAAGATTAAAAAAACTGATACCATTTTTTCACGTTTGGTCAAGAATTTAGTAAGTTTTAAACTTTCAAAATCACAATCATAGGTCGAAAATGATATAGATTCTGGATGTAGACATTTCCACCTGGACGCTGATACTCTTTAAGTCATACTTTGTTTATGGAAATTATGATTTATGAGCAACTAGAGAGACTCCTTTAATACTCTTTTACGAAAACCTGAATAAAACTTTTCGATTTTTATATATCACATTCATTCCGCCATGGTGTCACCTGTTCATCGCTAGGTCTATAATGTCTTTCGTTGGCCTTTTAGAATCAAATAAAGATTTAAACTAAGTTTTCAACGACGAGGTTTTCTAAGGGTACTTTGACTCGTTTTTCGATCGGATCTTCATGTCATGCTTAAAAAATTATGGAAAAGTATGAATAATATGTCACACAGTATAAAGCGCACTTGTTGAAGCGTTTCTTCATTCTCTTTTATACGTGTGAGGGAGAAACAGTGTCTTTGCATAAGCAGTGCACTACACGTAGGCAGTACTTACACAATTTTCTTCAAAAGTGCATCTTGTTTATCTCTCAATTTGAAATGGAATAAGACGGAATTTTGATATGGATTTTCGAAATAAGCGGGATGCCGTTGAATTTGAGGCAATGGGACTTTCGGTTTTCGTCTTGCAGTTGGACCATCAGCAATACCATTGTGGTTCATGATGATGATGATATAGAGATCCTAAGAATCTAAATTGTAAAATGATTGATGATATTACGTAAGATTAACAATGAAAGCAGCTCTTTTCCAAGTAGAAAATGCGCGAATAATTGTAATATTTTGTCCAGTTCAAACAGGTGTTAACGTCGCCATTGTAAATGTTAAATAGTCTTCGTAACTAAGAAACAAACGCACATTGTTCTGCAAAAGAAACAGCCAGAGAGGAGAAACGTAACTCTTTTCAATAGATTGGGTAAGTCAAAATTTTAAATCTGATTCGTAATTTAATTAACTACTCTGTAACAGAAATGTCGCTCTAAGTGTCTACGTCGCTGTATGAGCAATAACGACGAAAAGCGGTCAAAATAAGTGTCCGATACTTTTTCTTTCGACAATAGCAAGCGTCAACGTACTTTCGGCTTGATAGGCGCTAACATCCCACGATTGCCGGTTGAAAAACACTTAAACATTTATCTTGATCGTATACAACCGCACGTGTCACTATTCAATTTTCGATGTTCTTGTACCTGGCTGGAGATTTCACGTCAATTCACTTGCATTGAGTCAGCCAAATGCTTGTACAACTACTTAAGGAGCAAATTCAGAGTACCTGTAAGTAAAATCACTTATGGAAAACGACTAGAGACTGTCCTCATTCCTTGTATCAAGCACCTTTTCAAGCACTTGTCGTCAAGTACATTCAATAGGGTAGGAAACACATTTTTCAAACAGCAAAATGCCGCGATTTATGGCATCCACATATACTGGATAAAAAGTTTATCTTAAAAATAAAATACTAGGTTCACAAAACATATTGACATTTCAGAACGGATTTATGCGACAAATGGATTACTGTAGAATACTCTCTGGGACGACTACAAAATGTGCACACGATACATCGTGACTCAGAAATTTTCCTGGTGTCGGTTAGGCCGCCCACTCTATCCTGAGATGGATATCTCAGTAACTGTTATTGGTTTTAGATTACAGAGTCGAAATTCTGCTTTATTCTCGTGCTTTTTTTGAATGTTAAAGTTATAACTAAATTATTCGTGTTTTTGAATAAAACTGAGCAATTATATGAGACAATATGTCCGAAACGACAGATTACGTAGTATACTTGGCAGATTATGTCATATTTGGGTTTGGTAAAAATCGATCCTGTCGATTAACGAACCCATACTTGTTAAGTTTAGAGCGTGAAAGCAACATAGTAGCACGTGCTAATATATTTTAGGCATCATGTAATGAAGATCTTATTTTGAGTTATTTATGTTGTTGTTTAATAATACTAAAATCAAAGCCAACTTGTACTCAATAATCCCTTTGAAAAACATATTAAGAGAGCTTTTTTACTCGTACACATCGGGGTTTCAGCTATAATTCGATAAATGAAGGATATTTACAAAAATTACTTTGAAATATAAAAGGAGAAAAAGAAAAATCGGATATTTGAATAGAATCACAAACGTTGTAACTTCTATTCAATCATATAAGTACTTTTTGAGAACAAGTTCTTCTCATATACCTTTTTCTATAATCAGAAAAAAAACTGTCATATAAAAACTACATCCTCTTATATTTTCTTATTAACAAAAATAGAGATCAAGTACCAATTAGACGACGTGTATAATCATGTAATAATTAATTCATTATTTTTCAAATGTTTTCATTACAATCCTGATCTGCACAAATTGATACGGAGACAAATATTACAATATGGCTAGAAGGAAAAGTTGTGTATCGTGTACGTATCACATAATAGTAATCATTAAACACTTTCATGTAATTTCATCCTTGTTTTGATTGATTATTAAAATTGAGGACCATATAAATCGATCAGGCAATACTATTCGTTCATAAAATGAATGATCCCCGACATATTTCGAATAATTTTTTAATGGAAAGGGCTAGAACGATGTGATTTCTACTATTGAATAGAGGAGCTGATGGAAAGTGAAACTATGAAAAACTCAGATCTCTAGATGAGGTTTACCATGGCAAAATTTTCAAAACAAAGCACGGAAGCTGTCCACTTTTAGGAAAAAAGGAATTTTAAATTTCAAAATGTTGATTCTATCCTCTAAAGTGTGCTATTTAAAACTATGCAAGTTCCAGATCTCTGTCTCTTTTGGTTCAGGCATTTTCCGAGGACCTACCTATCGCTAGGCTAAAATTCACGTTTGGGAGCTACCAAAGCACATGGAACATAGGTTATCGCCTCTTCTTGCTCTTGTGGCAATGTTGGTTTGTCGGGAAAAATTCAAGAATCTCGTAAAAATCTATACTAGGTAAAATAATAGCCTATTTTGTCTGTTTTCACGTAAAACTAAAAAATTCATAACTCACTCAGAATCGATCGCACCTATGTCAGAATACCAAGGTATATTCTATTTTATCGGCTCAAATACGATTCTATAGTTGAAATTAGTAAAAAATGTTCTCTGCCCACCGAAGACCTCTAGAAAACCTTCACAAAAACCGAAGTAGTTTCTAAAATCTGCATTGAACTGCATGATATAGTGTGGATAGCATAGAGTACCCTCGGAAAATGCGTGGAACTCCTGAACCAAAAGAGACAGAGATCTGGAACTTGCATAGTATTAAAGAGCACACTTTAGAGGNCTCTCTTTCTCTCTCTCTGTTCTACTCTCACGTGAAATAAGTAAATATGTGAGTACAAGTTATTCAGAAGCAAAAACATACGTAATTTTCTTGAAAATGACCTACTTTTAAAGAGCACACTTTAGAGGATAGAATCAACATTTTGAAATTTAAAATCTCTTTTTTCCCTAAAAGCGGACAGCTTGCGGACTTTGTTTTGAAAGGTCTACCATGGTAAACCTCATCTAGAGATCTGAGTTTTTCATAGTTTCACTTTCCATCAGCTCCTCTATTCAATAGTAGAAACCACATCGTTCTAGCCCTTTCCGTTAAAAAATTATTCGAAAAATGTCGGGGATCATTCTTTTTTTGAACAGATAGTAATTAATGATACTCCTTCGAATTAAAATGACGATTATTTACAACAGATAGTTAGTTTTGGATGATTTAGTCTCTCATAATGAGTAATTCTTCATGTCATGATGCTATTGCACATAGTATATTTATTAATACATTGAATATCTATAGTGGATATCAGAACTTTTTACTTAATATGATATAAAACTAAAAAAGTTACCATAAGTATTTCTTATTTGACTTTATTGTGATTATATGTATATCTACACGAAAAGTAATATTTGAGCTTTCTTTCTATTTTGTTTTTATACGATGTATTGAGTATTCTAGACCTTCTAATTTTTAATTTGAAACGAAATAACTTCTCTGTTTATTGTTACGTTAATCAATTTTGGAGATTACAAGAGTTATTTTGGTATATTCGATTGCAGCTATTATATTGTTTCTCACCATCGTAGATTGTTGATTTTCTCCGATCAACAATTATTGTGTGCAATAAAAGTCCCTCACCATAAGAAATAATTCCAAAAAAAGCAAAACAGAAAAGACAAAAGAAACACAGAAAGAAATATATTTGAGACGTTTGTATTTTCATGTTTTATTATCAGAGCAATCAGTTTCTTGTTCTTCTTATTATAACAGAAGGTATTGAGATGTATGTTGTATGTGAGAAAGAACAGGACAACTATTATTTATTATTATGTACAAAGAAGAAAGTTTCTTTTATTGTACAAATCTTACAGCAGCATCAGAAATAACAAGAAAAGGAGAACAAATTTTTAACGATTTCTTTCCATCATATAGTCGAAAAGAAGAAAAAAATCAAAAATATAACTTGGCTCAATCGACGTACCATACCGTATATATTTGCGTTATTGATTCGAAATAAAAATCAAAAATTTTCAAATTTTAACAGAAGAAAAACGTCTTTCTCTCTTTCTCTCTCTCTGTTCTACTCTCACGTGAAATAAGTAAATATGTGAGTACAAGTTATTCAGAAGCAAAAACATACGTAATTTTCTTGAAAATGACCTACTTTT